AGCAGGGCATGGTGCAAGGGCCCCGGTCCACACTGCTACAAGGGCAGCTGACAGCCAGGCACCCCTTCACACCAATGGATAGGACACATGTCGTCCTCCCACACACAGGCGGAGAGGGTGATGAGCAGCGCCCCACTCAACTTGCTTCAGGATGAACCCATGGCACAGGAGAGCAGGAGACAACAGGGACTCGTGATGCGGAGAAGAAAGCAGCAGGAGAAGAAGAAGACATCAGCTGGCCATGTTTCCAGACAGCACAGGCTGGCACCTTGCTCAACCCTTCTGGAAACCCTGGCCAGCAGCTCCGTCCTCAATCCGGCACCTGGCTGTGGGCTTCCTGGTCGATGCGCTCACTGGACGTCCAGCCCGGCTTTAGCAAGGCAGGCACCTTCTGCCGTAGTAGCGGCCACCCAAACCCCCCAGGCTACCAAGGCCCAAGCCCCCCGACAGGGGCGGCACAGATCGTAGCAGGACATGGCTGTGGGACGGAGGTGCACCTGGGAGAGAGGGCAGGGAAAGCAGAGGCAGCATGTGAGGCACAGCCTGACAGCCTGCTCGGCAAGAGAGAAGTCCCAGGCTGGGGAGCAGGGACAGGCTGCGTGGGAAGGAAGGGAGGTTAAGGAGCCCTGATCCCCCAGGTTTCCCTGCAAAGAAAGCCCAAGACCTTCTCCCACTTCCCCCCATTGCGGCAACAGAGATGCTGGGAGCAGGATCAGGGACCAAGGCTCTCAGCAAAAGTTTCACCAAGGCAAAGACTCAGTTGAAGCCAGAAGACCAAGAGAAAAAGGAGAAAGACACGAAAGAGGCAAAGCTGGTTGCAGCTCACCTTGTTGACCAAGGAGGAGAAGGCAAGAGAAGTGGATGAGGGAGCCTGCACTCGAACTGGCTTTTATACCGCTCCAGACCGCCCCAGGCCCAGAGGCACCCTTGGCGCACATAATGTGTTTACCAACAAGCTCATCTTGCATGCAAAGCATCACAATTACAGAAATGGGGACACTGCTTATGTTCCCTGCAACGCTGCCTTTTCATTTCCCTGCTCAGGACATGCCCCTTCAGCCACACAGGCTCCTTTCAAGTGACAGTATTAGAGGCCAAGATGTTTCCCGGGGAAATGACACGTCAGCACAGGCTGATGATGCAGCCAGTGAGGAGGAGTGTCCCGCCCCGCCAGGTGATGCCATCCCCTTGCCCTCCAGGGCCTCACTTTAAGCATTCTCATAATGAACAGGCTATGTTTTCTTGTAATCCTAAAAAACAAACCCAGACTTTAAAGAATTTTCTGTGACAGGAATCACCATATCCATTGTGTAACCTAATACCTAACTCCGTCAAAGTTAGTTATAAACTTCCTGGTCATCTTGGATACCCTGTGAGGTTTTAGGCTCAGCAATTTAACATCAAGAAAAATTCATATACTCTTTGCCCTTCCTTACCTTATCTGGAAAGCCTCTTGTAGCTTCCAATCAACAGGAGAAGGATGTTTGAAGTGCAGAGACATTCCTCTCCAACACACACTAAATATACACACACCCCTATCTTGCCAAGGCAGCAAAGGTCAGTCTTGGGGCTTCCCAACTATCCTTCTTCATCCTCAAGGCTAGCAGACGCTTCTTCTTTGAGCCTACACACTAACTCAATAACAGGCACTGCAAAAAGCTTGGAAAGCTTTCCGTGAGACATCAAAACTCATCACAAGTACTCACGCTCTGAGAACGTCAGCAAGGACATGCTGGAGGCAAGTAGACATAAGGATCCCTGCGTCCTCTTCCCAGGCATCTCAGCACATTCAGATGTGCAGTTTCCCACTGGCCTTTCCTAGTCTTGCACTCAGCACCTATAGTGGGGGTCAGCCCAAAGCCCCCAGTGTCCTGCTGCACCCTGCTCTCTCTGCTCAGGTGCCGCAGATGCTGCCTCCCCTCCCTGATACGATCTTTTTACCCCACAATGCTCCTGCTCTCAGCTCAGCAAGGCTCAGGACTGTTGATGGGTGTTTGCTGTA